GGAGCGGAGGGCCATGAGACAGTGTCCTATGACAGAAATAAAAGCTCACTGCAATCCTGGCTCTGGTGAGGGTGCTGTTTTGATGGCAATGTTCAGCTTGATTTTAGGAGTCTTTTCCAGGCTGCCACAGTCCTGGGAGAGGTGGGTAGAAAGCTGAACAACTGCTCAGCAGCCCAAGGAAGGTGAAACGGGATAGCTGTCAGGACGTGTTGCGTAATGCCTTCCAGCACCACTGCGGTTCTGCACTGTGAAGCTTTGGTGGGTGTTCTCCACCTGCTGTGCCCCAGCGAGCAAGCAGTGACCGAGCCCCACACGTGGGGAGCTGGGAGCGCTCGCACTGGTGCGTCAGTGTGGATGTGCGCTGAGTTGTGCCTCGGGCTGCTGAACAAGCTGCTGCTCGTGGCTCAACGCCCACTCACCGCGGTGATGGGCACGGACAAAACACTTGAGCAGGAGTGTACGGTGTTTGTTTGGTTTTAATCGTAAAGAGAAGTGGTTCAGACATGCCAAGAATGCCGGATGAGATTCTCCCCGGGCTGCCGGGCCCTGCGAAGCACCTCGCAACGTGCGGCCCTCCAGGCCCCCCTGGCAGCCGATCCCCTCACACCCGCCTCCCGCAGCCCGTCCCGAGGGGCCGCCGCGCGGCCGAGGCCCGGCAGAGGGCGGCCGTGGCCCGGCGGAGACCTTCGATCGTCCCCCGCCTTCCCGCCGGAGCTCCGCAGCAACACGGCGGGTGCGGGGGGTCCTCCCTCCCCCGGAGCGGGCTGCGGGCGTGAGCGGAGCTGCGTGAGCTGCGAGCACGGAGAGATTTCAAGGACGTTTCCCTCCATTCATCCCAGTTATGTGCGTCTCTAAAATAGGTTAACGGTGTCTAATTAACCACTGCACATTGTCATGCTGCATAAAGATAGCAGCCTGGCAGTTCTCTGAGCCCTGCTACTTTATCTCCATTTAGATCTCCGTGGTAGTCCATTAAATGAGAAAGAAACAGTTTAACGGAGATGATGTCTACATTAGAGCTGCCTTTCACCTCTGGGCACGGCTGTAGGCAGCTCCCTTTCAGCCGGGCTGTGCGCTGCGGTGCGGGGGGGGGGTTGAGGGTTCTGAGATTCAGCCCCCTCTCTGCACGAGGCAGGATTCGGGCCGGCTGGGGCTGAGCGTCGCTCCAGAGCGAGATCACGTTTATATCTTCTGCTCCGGCACAGCTTGGAGACAAATAGGTGGCGCATAGCGGAAGTTGTGTGATAGGATGCACTGGGGTCTGCCGGGGGTCTTCTGCCCCGTCAGAAAGAATGAGAGAAACAAAAGTATTGTTCTCACAAGAGCGGATGATGGCTGGTGTGAATACAGCAGACAGTGCATTTCTGAGCATTGCTCCCGGGACTGTGTTGTTTTGCTTGCCCTTACTTAAGTGTATATTCATGCAGCACAAAGATGCACCAGAGGGTGTTCAGCATAAATGTTAGGAAAAAATTATTTACCATGAAGTTGGTCAAAGGCTGGAAGTGGTTGATGCCTGTCAGTGTTCAAGAGACATTTGGATAATGCCCTTAATAATCTGCTTTAACTTTTGGTTAGCCTTGAATTGGTCAGGCAGTTAGACATGATTTTTGAAGATCCCTTCCATCGGAACCATTCCATTCTATAGTTCATGCGCAATTGCTCATTTTATGGATGCTTGTTGCTGTCCTCGCTGGGCTTTGTCTCCTGTTAGAGCAAACAGGAAATGAGGGCAATGCACTTGTTGCTGAGAACTCAAGAAGAGAGTAGAAAATCTATCTATACTGACCTGACTTTACAGTCTATCTTCTTCCATGTCAGTTTTCGCTCATTACTAGAATCTTATGCCCTTAGGGGTGAGTGAGATGCTGTGCACCTGGGCATGATATTCTTTAAAGGATGAAATGTTGGTCTCAGCATGTTGCAATTGGCATTGATAAATCTGAGCCAGTTCTCAGGAATGGCCGCTCCACTCCACTTTGAGCAGTGTGGTAACTTTACAAAGAATGCCTGCAGGGCTTCCAGAAGCTGCTGATAGCACCTGGAGACCAAAGGGACAAGCAGGTAGCTGGTCCTGCAGGCACACTGTCTCATGTGTAGCTCAGCCCTTACCCAACCTTATGAAAGGCGCAGGGTTGGAGGCAGGACACATTTCAAGAATTTATTAACAACTTTTTTTGCTTATTGCCTGGATGGTTTTTAACCTCAGGACATGGGCCAAAGCTTGTCCTTTCTCTCTGGGTCACTTTGTTAGGTAGATTTAGATGATGCATTTCAGCCAAAGAAAGCAAAACATTAGCCAGGAGAACAAACCAAAAATATTTTTGATTTTTTTTCCCCAGCTTGAAACAAGGAATTAAAAAGTAATATGTCATCAGAGAAAATAAAAGGAAGGCTTTGGGTTTGGGACTTTTGAAAAAATAAAGCTGTTTTTTATCTTCTTTACCTTAACTCGGTCATCAAGGTCACAGGGAGTGTAAAACATGAAATTCTTACAGAAGTTTCATACCATATATCCCAGATAGTTCTCTACCCATGAGCTGGTTTGAAATGCCAGTTTCATCAAATGATGCTATTCCAAGTCCTGACCATTAACAAACCTCTGTCGTGCAGGTGACTGAAAGCAGATGTCTCACCTAAACAGAACAGCAGTCATTTCTGTCTCCTGCTCTGCTTCCATTGGTATTTAAATGCTCTCTATAAATGGGAGTACTGTCGAGGTAACATACTTTCCTCCACTGCCACCTCTGTTCCCTGAAGCATGGGGACTGGACTGACAGTGGGGCTTTAGCTAGCCCTGCAGAGACAGGAGGGTGTTGTAACACCCAGGCTCTGGCGTTACAGTGAGCAGTACTGCTGTCCCTTCCTGGTTTATTAATTTATTCTCCACATTACTGTTTTTTTTTCAATACGGTGCAGTTATTTCATAATAAAGTAAAGCTATTTGGCAAGCTTGCAGATAGTTTTAGGAGTGAAAAAACTGCCTTCTGGAAGTGTGTACGAATCTGAGTATTCTGTACAAATTATGAAAGTATTGAGTGCAGACAGAAAATTAAACCTAAGTAAGAGTACTGATACCCCCAACAAAGCTGTCTGGATTTGGAGTCATCTAGATCAGTGAAGTGAACTCTTATAATTTATATTTTCTTACTGCCTTCAATGAGTCCATTTATAACATAATCAGGAAGAGTCTGGAAAGCTTAAAGTCTGAGAAAGAGCAGAATAGTCTCTGCCACTAGGACGAAATATGACTGCGTTCCCAGTGGGCCACCTGCATATCTATCAGGAGAGCGAGCTCAGGAAAAAGAAACAGCAATTGCTTGCAGGGATAGCAAGGTGTGACCCTCTCCTGGGAAGTATAAACATGTTTCACTCCTGCCTGGGAACAGGCAGTGAGCAAGAATGTAAGAAGCGTGAGTGCTGAGGGAAAAAAAAAGGGTTATTTGGGGCTGGACAATTAGCAAGAATAATGGGATCATGCTAAGGAGAGGTTAGATAGAACCTCCAGGAAATGATCCCACTGCGAGTGCCAGGGGTCTGAAGACAGGCTGTGGGAAGCAGTTCCGTGAAGGCAGAAGGGAGAGGGAGAAAATGGGATAAATCATGTATCATCTTTTCATCTCTGGTCAGATTCCAAACTCTGTTGTGAGCTGGCAGTGGACTCTGATCCATTACTTTCTCTTTCTGCAGCATCAGGAGGTCACAAATGTGTTTTGCACTATCACTGGGGAAAATGACTTAACTGGACAATTACTCCCCGCTGAAAGAACTCTCCTAAATTCATAACTCCGCTGTACTTCTGCTGGAAGCTCAGGTGCAGGTGTCACTTATGTGGCTGTAGTTCTGACCATAGCAGTGATATCACTGGACTATTATTACTTATAGGGTCTAACCTTTAGCCTCTCACAGACTGCAAGCTCCAAGGAGAGCAATGGAGACAAGGATCTTTCTTCTTTTCATATTTAGACATTGTCTTGCTCTTAGAAGAGTGGACTGTTCTTAGGAGGACTCAAAGAGGCCTGTGGCCTCATCAGAGAGAACTGATGAGAAGTCTGCCTGTTTCATGGAAGGACTTTGAAAGGTGAAGTGCAAGGCAGTGCAGCAGTTTCTCTCACATCTTGGTGTGTCCTGGGACAGTGCATGTGGTAGAGTAGGGCCCCATGTGCTCTTGTCATGGTGCTCTGACTTGAGAGAGGGGAGAATATTTATTCCTAATGCATAGAGATGAAACTTCACTCTGCAAAATGGCCAAAGCAATCAGTGAGTGATGAAGTATCTGCTAAAAAGAAACCTGGCATTTAATTAACTTTTCAAAGTGCTGGTTCAGCAACCTCCATGTTTTACATTTTGAATATTGAACAAGCATCCCTAATCGGAACTGAATTACTTCTGGGCTTGCTGGGGTGGAGAGCAAGGGAGCTGCCATTTGCCAGTGCCTCCCCCCCACATTATTATTATGAACTTCTGTTAACTCAGCCGGATCAACCCTGATTTACTGCAGCGACAGCATGTCTGACCTGAACTTGGCCTGCTCAGATAGAGCTCCTAACCCTCAGAGGCGACCACATAATCTTTAAGCACAACCAAGGGCTAGAAGAACCTGTTGATCTCTCAGGGGAAGGTAGACAAATTATACTTTCTTTATTGCTCCTTAATGTGCCAACCTCTGCACCCAGGTAAGGCAAGCTTTGCCCACAGTTGATGTCAGAGAGTATGAAAAAAGTATCTGAGAAACTGAAAAAAACAGGGACTCTGTTCCTTGCTGTATCTGGACCTGATTGTCTTTTGGGACTCAGATGATTCTGCTTTGTCTTGATGCACTCAGGGACTTTTTTATGCCTTGGTTTAGTGGTCAGTAAGAATTCTTTACAGGTGTGATGTGTGATATTAGACCTGGTTGCAGGAACTGTTTTATACATTAAGAGTGATACAGAGAAATATATGTTTTTTAATATATCTTTCTAGACTTTTCTAAGCACAAGCTTTTCCTTGTCTTGCAGGTCAGGAAAAAAGCATGCAGAAGAAGTAGAAGAGTAAGTTCCCATTGTTGCTGAGACTTCTTTCACAACTTCTACATCTGATTTCATAGAGAAAGGGGATGCAACTCTCTTAGCTCCTGTACATCAAGATCTGGAATCTGGGGTGGATGCAGAGCCTGGCATAAATTCATGCACTGGTCATGGGTCAGGACTGGTTGCTCTGTAGTTCCCTGGATACAGAGTTTATGGTGGCTGTGTCATTCCCGTGTGAGAGAAAGAAGTGGAACATGCCTGCTTTCCCAGCAGACTCATGCCAGGCTCTGCTGTCTAAGCCACGTGTAATAACCTAAGTATTTGCCGCAGATATGAGGCATTGTAGACTTGTGGGGAAGAAGAAGATGGAAGAAGATGCTTCTTTGGGCTTTCATTTGAAATTCTTTTCACCTTGTGTTTTGTTGCAGTCATCGTCTCAGGCAGCAGAGCCAGGAGGTATCGAGTGAGGGAGGAGGTATGTTTTCACCTACTTGATGCCAGAATTGCCTTTATACCTGTCTGGGGGTTATCCAGTAAAGTGAGCAGAGGCAGCTATCTGGTAAGAAATGGCTAGAGAATGAATCAGCTTGAGGAGAGAAACAAATGTGGCTGCTGTTTAAGTCTCACAGCTGCTGAATGGAGGAGAGAGTGCAAAGAAGATTGAGAGAACGATGATGAAATGAACCTACAGTCTAAGTCTGACTCTTCATTGACACAGAATAATAAATGCCTTGAGGAAGAAAGAAAGTGTCGTGGGGACACTTCTCTGTGATTACCTCCATAGGGATAATAGTGTACTGGGAAAGAAGAAAGCTAAAAGCCTGATAAAAAGGTAAAAGCAGGGATAGAAATCACTGCTGTCCCCTAGTTTAGGTGATAGCAGGCTCTGCTTAAAGCTCTTCTTGTGTTTTGTGATAAAAGCTTTATCTTGTGCCTATCAGGACAAGTGCTTGCACAGTTTTCTTAAGGCATCTGTCATGAGAGAACTCGTTATTTAAGAAAAACACTCACACTAATGCAAGATCTTAGATCATAAGCTGAACTTACTCTGGTGGGTTATCGTACTGGACTCCTAACTTACCACTGCTAGTTTTCCACACGGTTTATATTACCTACGCTTATAGGACTGATTGAAGCAAGAGAAAGCCCAGGAAAAATCTGTAGTAGGAAGTCCTAGGCAAACAGTGGAAGGCCATGGATGTAGAAATTCATTGAAGTCTCTAGCAGCTACCTCAGTTTTCAAGGGCTAAGAATTTTATACAGTGTATAAAAAGTTGCATCTGTAAAATGCTGCCAAGCATTAAGAAAATTACTGGAAGTCACAAAGGATGAGACATCAATATGTTTAATGAGACTAATTAGAAGACTTATTTGGGTCTTCCAGACAGATTAAGCACAGCAGCATATGACTGCCTGAAGTGGCACCTTTATAGCACTGGCATCTTCAGAATAGATTTAATTTCCCCCATGGGATGTTTCTTGGGCTTCTTAAATTTCATGATATATCACTGAGGCTGATAGTCTGTTCTGAATAGCTATTTGTCTGTTTGCATGTGTGCTGTCCTTCTTGTTGAACCTTGGTCTTGTATTCAGAGTATAATAACTTTCTTTGCTAACCAGGTATAAAAACTTGCCAGATGTTTGCAGCATATGACTTTTAGTGCTTGGGTTATAAATACAGAATATGTTGGGCTATAAATACAGAATAGAATTGATACAGAACATGGTATGAAGACATGATAGGTTGTAATACGCTTCCCTTATTTACTTGTACCTAATTTGTGGCTTGTAGTTAGTTTTGGCTTGTTTACTAATCAGAATTCAACTTTGGACTATATGCATGTGTTAGAAGAAGGGTCCTGCAAACGTTACTGGGAGATCCCACCCGGGCAGTTGCTTGTATAATCAGATACACTGGTTTGTAGATCTAATTCTGATATGGAAAATCTCTGAATGATCAATACATTGCATGCTAGTGGTCCTAGTGGTACAGGGAAATTAAACAGACTGATTCTGGGAGAGCAGTTCTCTGTGTGGACTCAGCAATTGCAGTGAGGACAGGTAACATATAAACTCCAGAACATGATTAAAAATGCTTCTGCAATTAAGCAGAGCGGTACATAAGAGCTAGCCAGTGCAGAAGGCATGCTGTGGTTGTGCCTTAAATTGAGTCATATTGGCCTCCCCTGCACACAGTGAAGGGCTTGTGTCCTTAACTGTAGCAATAAAGCCCAGATTCTAACCACCCTTAAATCAAGACATTGGTGTATGGATCCCCAAGGATGGGTCATGGTTATTTTTTGCTGCATAATGTGTTAGCTTGTACAACTTAATATGAACAGGCGCGGTTGCCTACTGATTGCTGCTGTCAACCAGCACATTTGTATTACCTTCCTTTGCCCTATTAGAAAGCTTAGCTGTACCATTCCATTAACATTGCTTGTCCGCTGTCCAACCTTTTTATTTAAAGAATGAAAGACAAAACAGTCTGCCCTTAAAAAGATAGCTTACGTATCTGAAGTGTGCTCAGCTGTAATCGTTTGTATGGCACTAAAGCTCAGAGGCTTACAATTTGGAGTCTGTTGGAGGAAGCACTGAAAAATGACAAGGAGAGAATCCATGGTTTGGCATGTGGAGAATGTGGGAGTGTGGGAGAGAAGGACAGTTGGTTCTCAGAGTGTGGGAAGGTTGTGTGAAGACTGGACTACACAGGAGCATCATATGTGGAACTATATGCATTTTCAGCCACTCCTTACAGTTGCACAGGGCAACCCAGGTGCAAGTCATCCACACTTTGCAAGATAAACCACTGAAATATTAGTAGTGAAGTGTCTTGGCTCAAGCTTTGCTCAGAATTCATTTTCTTTAACCTGTATTTCTTCTTCATTGAGGCTACTCCAGGACAAGAGTGCCATTTTAAAAAGGAGCCAGTGTTGAGTTATAGGGATCAAAGAAACGTGTTTCACTAAAAGCACCATCTGCTCCTTTAAAACTGCAAGCTGGAAAGACTGATATGAAAAAGTACAGCATCTCTCCAGCAGCAGTTCTGGTGCATTGTCTGATGGATTCTGGGGTTTCCTACAGTGCCTTCCTTCTCTGAGCTCAGCCCACCCTCTCTCTGCCCACCCTCCTGAGCAGTCACTGGTACACGTTAGAACTTAGTCACAGCAAGTGGATAACTAATGTTCCTTTGTGAGGTTGTTGTGTGTCCAACCGAACTGTGGTGCAGCCCAGCTCCTCTGTACCATGGAAAACTCGCTTTAACAGGATTTAATGCATCATATCTTAAGGAATAATAAACTTTCACAAGCCTCAAAAAAATGTTTAATTCCTAGAGGACAGGCCTAGTTGAGTCACTTTCAGCCAGGGGCAATTGGGGGCTTAATGCCATGTATGTAGCAATCTGGGCAATCTAAGAGAGAGGAGTTTAAGGGTAATTGCTCAATTTTCTGTCCATGTCAACAGGGAAAACGGGCAGCAGAGTCTGAGTGCTGTAGAGCCAGGAGACTGCAGGTAGGAGACAATCAGGAGAATTTAACAAGTGCTTTCTGTAACAGCCATGAGCAGTTTCTCCCCACTACAGACTATTCTTTGTCATAAAGTGGGAGGAGGACAGGACAACTGAGTATATGTGAAAGGGCTTTCTCCTCCCTTTGCTCCTTTCTCCAGCAGGATTGTAGTGTCTCTGCTTCTGCTTTGTTTGGGTTTGTTTTACTTAGCTTGTGCGTGACTTTACTCAGCTTGTGTGTCTCATTCTGACATGCAGCTACACTCTTCTATCAGCACACAACTTTGTTGTATAAAAGTTTCCTCTATGTTCTATTCTTGTCCACCTGTTCTGCTCTGCTAGGTTCCACACCCTGGATGCCTGTCTCCTCACTGCATGGTCCTTGGGCTTTTCCTCTTAGCACTGGAGCAGGGGTCTGTTAACTGATATTATCATCTGTTCTCCCTGCTCTCCTTCTTTTACAGACTGTTCTCCCATCTTCAGAAATCTTTTGCCCCTTTCTCTCTTACTCTTGCATAGCTCCTAGAACAGGGCTTTTGGTGGAGAATTGGGCTGTGACACATGTGATACTCTGTCTATGGGAACAACAGCTTATTTTAAAGCAGATAGTGTGGGTGAATGAGAGAGCTGATTGAAATGAAAGCCTGCCTGTGCTCACAGACAACCCGGACGTGACCTGCAGGTGAGGAAAGCTGCCAAGAGACAGTCACTGGATCTGTGCCCTCAAGGCAAAATCCCTTCCTGCCTGCTGGGAAGCCTCCTCGAGGAAGCAGAGCTGATGATGAGACCTCTCTATACAATGTCAAATCTTTAGAAGGACTTCTTACCCTTCTGGCATGTGGCAGCAGCTCCTTTGCATTTGAGCAGGATAGGAGTCCAGGCTCTGAGCGTAACAGGAGCAGTAGAAAATGTGTTAGTGCTCCATTGAATATTAATCTTACTTGCTTGGGGAAAAAAAAACAACAAAAAACAAACAAACAAAAAAAACCCAACAAGAAATGGAGAAAGTGGGCATGTGCCCTGGTCCCTGCATCGTCCTGGAAACAATGTCTATCAGGTGGAAGGGTAGCACAGGATATGGCCATAAAATACCGAACACCTTACAAGCTGCATGCAAATATGCAGCAGTGCTGAAATTACTCTGAACAGAGCTGAGAGTAAGAGCACAAGGTGATTGCTGCCTGCGTTATTCTTGATGAAGTTTGCGAGTTGCTTCCTGGTGAGCTGCTGTTCTGACAGAACACACCAAGTGCTGGTGGTTTCTGGGGGCTGTGACTGCAAGGAGTGTATGACAAAGAAAGCCTTATCAGCCAAGCATGAGCCAGAAGGGTGAGAGCTGGTAGATGGGAAGCTGGACATAAGCCAGCGATGTGCCCTTGCAGCCCAGAAAGAACTGTCTCCTGGGCTGCATCAAAAGAAACTTGGCCAGGTCGAGGGAGGTGATCCTGCTCATCTACTCTGCACTGGTGAGGCCTCACCTGGTGTACTGCATTCAGATGTGGAGTCCTCAGTACAGGACAGACATGGACCTGTTGGAGCACGTCCAGAAAAGGGCTGCAAAAATGACACAAGGGATAGAACACCTTTCCTGTGAGGATGGGCTGAAAGAACTAGGACTGTTCAGCATGGAGAAGAGAAGGCTCCAGAGAGACCTGAGAGCAGCCTTTCAGTATCTAAAGGGAAGCTACAGGAAAGATGGGGACAGACTCTTTGGCAGAGTCCGTGGTGATAGAATAAGAGGAAATGGTTTCAAGCTTAAAGAGAGTAGATTTAAGTTAGATGTAAGGAAAAAGTCTTACACAGTGAGGGTGGTGAGGCACTGGAACAGGTTGCCTAGAGCGGAGGTAAGATGAGAGGAGGTTTCTGGAGACTCTCAAGGCGAGGCTGGATCAGGCCCTGGACAACCCGATTTAGCTGTGGTGTCCCTCTTCCTTGCAGGTCAGTTAATCTAGATGTCCTTTAAAGGT